AGTGTTGGGGGTTTGGGGAGGAAGCTGGACCCCCTGGCCTGATTCGTGCTCACTCCGAGTTCGGCTGCCTTGCTCCCCAGTTCACGGTGACCCCCCTGTGCTGCCCTAGCCGCAGCAGCGTCCTCTCGGGGAAGTACCCCCACAACCACGGGGTGCGGAACAACTCCCTGAACGGCAACTGCAGCAGCGCGGACTGGCAGAGAACCCAGGAGCCCCAGGCCTTTCCCGTCTACCTGCAGAAGCGCTCCTACCAGACCTTCTTCGCTGGCAAATACCTGAACCAGGTAACCCGAGCACCGCTGCGCTGCCAGGCCCCGCGCCCCGGCCCTCCCAGCAGCACCTGCTGCCTTACAGCCAGGTGTTGTCTGGAACCGCGGTCATTAAAAAATATTGCACTAATCGAAAAGCACCCCCCCCCCCTCCCCCTGACCAGCTTGCTCAGCCCTCCCTCGCCTGCCCTTCGCAGACGTCCTGTCCCCCCTCTCCCTCTCCCTCTCCTCTCCCGAGCCACCAGTCTCAGCCCGGTGTCTCTCTCTCTCTGTGTCTCTTCACAGTACGGCAAGCCTCAGGCTGGTGGGGTGAGCCACGTGCCCCCAGGCTGGCACCAGTGGCATGGGTTGGTAAGTCTCCGCACACTGCTGCTTTCCTGCAGGGACCAGCTGCAGCTCTAAACTCTCAAGTCTAACATTCTTCTAGGCCGAGTCATACTGTATACTGACTGCGTGGAGAGACGCAGGGCCGCAGCTTTGGACAGAAACCCACAACTATTATTGTGCAAGGATTGTTCACTGTGGTATTTTGTACGTTCGTTAAGGCATCAATAATTTGTATGCATTGCCTATATATACCAGTAACGTGTTTGAAGTTATGGGCCAGTTAGAATACATCTCCTGTGGTACCATTAAGGTTTAATGCCACAGATACGGAGTGCAAGCGTTTTGGATTTCTTTGTTCTCTGGTTGAAAGTCTTGTATGCAATGCATGTTTAGAAAGAAAAGCTCTATCATACTGATCCATATGGTGTTTTAGAGAGATCAACTTTTAAATGTTTTAATTGCTGGTGCTTGTACAAGTAGCTCTTATGAAGCAGTTGTAATTGCCTCTCAAGTGAATTCCACTGTCTGCCCGTGTGCTCAAAAGACGTTTGAAGTATTAAATGCCAGCTGTTGACTTAGGTAAGTGCCTACAGCTTGTGAAACCTGTAGAGGTTCAGATTGCAGTGTGAAGGCATCTGGCCCTGCTGCCCTGGCAGTGGGCGAGACCGTAGGAGAGTGTTGCAATCCTATCCAGGTGTTGTGCTGAGTGTGACATGTGCCCCTGTGCCTGCAGGTGGGGAATTCTCAATACTATAACTACACCTTGTCTGTGAATGGAAAGGAGGAGAAACATGGGGACCAGTACAAGACTGACTACCTCACCGATCTCATTGTGAGTCCTGCTGGCCCCTTGTGCTGCCTACAATCTTTCAAGGAGTCATGCACAATTTTTTCAGGCCATTGCATTCTCTTACCTTTCTACATTTCTGTGTGTTGTTTTAGGAATGTGGTGTTGTCTGTTCTGCTTTAGCAGTCTTCCATCAGTTTTCAGTTTTTTCGAAAGGCTGTGGGGACAAGTGTCCGTTTTGCGCAGGGCTCTGAATCACTTCGCTGATGAGCCTGAGAGCACTGCGCGACGCAAATTCTCTTCCCCGCCAAGCTTCCCTGCAGTCCACCTTTTATACAGTCTGTTCTGGAGCACAAAGGCAGATGTGTTTTGAAAGTGAGAGAATGAGTAATTCAGAAAATGAAGAAGCAGTAAAGGTTTGATCTGTTTTTCAGACTGAACCATAAGGGGGAGGTCACAGAGTTAGTCATCTGTAGCAGGAACTGCTTACTCATCCTCAGGGTCCACAGTCCAGCTGGTTTTCTATTTAAATTGTCAGTACCTTAAGGCTTTGAAAAATGAATAAACTGGTCCAGTTAAACGTTAATCAGATCAAATTAATGCTCACCCCAACTGAAGAGGCATTTCTAACTTGAGAAGACATGGAAAACCTGCTGGTTTCCAGACCCTGAGGACCAGAGTTTAAAGCCGTCCATTTTGTTCTGGGGGCACTTCACCCCTGTTCCTGGAGAGCTGACAACCAGGAGATATTTTCTCCCACCCTGGCAGTTTGGTGTTTGAATTGATTGTTTTCAGGTTATTTGCTCATTGAGGATTACAGGTTACTTATTAGTTTCGGTGGACTGTGGCCCCCCAAGACCAGGAATGACTGCCAGGGAGCTAGAAAATTAAAATACACAAATTCGAGTGACATGGCAGAGCTCTTGTTTCTCAAGCCCTTTGATTAAAGAACAAGTACTGTACTTTTTCTCAACAGCTACACTAAAATTATAATGGGTTTTTTTTCCACTGCCTACCTTGCGTTAATCTTATTTGAGATCTTTTGTATGCTGGAGCTTCTGACAGACTTTTGACAGTCTGACTCTGCCAGAAAGGCCGCTTTCTGAAAAGAGGAGTCTGTCAGCACCTTGCCTTGGGGGTGCAAACAGCCCTGCAAGTTTAGTGTTGCCTCCCGTGTGGACTTCTTGGTGCGGGGAGTTCTGGAGAGATCTTGTGACGAGGCCTTAGTCAGCACAAGCAAAGATAGCATGAGGAAAACAGAGACGCAAATCTAGGAGGAAGATAAGGAAGAGAGTGCTGATGTCTGCGCTGTTCCAGCTGTAGGGGCTGATTCTACATGCAGTGAGATGTCACTTTGGTGCAGCTTTTGTAGAACTTCTTTGGGCAGTTCTGCTTCACCGAGAGACGACCTGCCAAGTGTGAAACCACTAAACAATGTGTTGGAAAGTAAGCAGCAACTTCTTATAACAGTACCTTGCAAAAGTCTTCAGACCCTTTTAAAAGTTTTCAAAAGTTGCTGGATCACAAATCATACCTGCACACTTTTTCCAATAGGTACTGGAAATCCGTAAACTTATAAAGGCGATAATATCCTCGTTAGGGCAATTTCAGCTGTGTAAGCAGAGAGCTGTGAGAGCACAGGGCGGGCTGAGTACTTATGCAAGCAGCGTATTTCAGTTTTTGACTTTCTTTCAGATATCTGCTGACAAACATAATTAATTTTTACTTTAAAAGTTTTCTGTTTGAGCATGCGAGTTTGCAGTAAAAATATACTAATTGGAAAGGGCTGTGTAAGTATCATTTGTAATCCAGCAACATTTGAAAACTTTTAAAGGGTCTGGATGCTGTTGCAAGGCACTGTATTTAATTGGGATATTTCGCGACAAAGAGAAACCATCACGCTTAGCCGCAAACATTCCCCCATTGCGTGTACTAGTTGATTATGTTCAGATGCAATCATGGCAGTATGATGCCTTCGTGGCTGAAGTGCAGTTATACGAGAACAGACGCAGTGAAAAATGGTTGGCTGGCAGCACTCGGCGCGCCCTTTAATTGGGTCCTTCCTCCTCCCGCCCCAGGTGGACAGGTCTCTGCGGTTCCTGGACCAGCGGAGGTATCCGTTTTTCATGATGCTGGCACCCCCTGCCCCACACTCCCCCTGGACCTCTGCACCCCAGTACCAGAACACCTTCGGCAACATCAAGGCGCCCCGAGATGGCAGCTTCAACAAACCTGGGGGAAAGGTAACCCAGGCTGCCCTCGTGCAGCATTTCAGAGCCTGTCCACGCAGAGACCACAGCAATCAGCTCAAGTGTCCTCTCCTCCAGGGAGTTATCGCTTGGATTTTCTTAGGCTGCAGTGGAATCCTTTGCTGTCACCTAGTGGGCAGAACATGTACTGCAGGCAGGGAGGAAGCAGAAGTGAAACTTCCGTTTTGACTTCTGCACACAGTTTTCATTATTGCTGATGCCCGAGTTTCACTGTCATTAATATGATGACAATGGGCAATCATTTTAAAGCAGGAAAATAAACAACACAAATCTTTTGCCAATAACGCGCACTTCCGCTGTGAAAACAAGTGATCATTTGTTATGAAGTCGGTAAAGTATGAGGAACAAGTAAACAACCGACAGGTCTGACTGCATGTTTTCGTCAAGGAGGGCTGTTGAATTAAAAAGGAAAGTGAAAACGGTCACAGCTTGAGGAGAATAGTGAACACAGGTAGTAAAGTCTCTATGGTAAATCAGACCAGGCACAGCCCCTCCAAACGAATGTGCACCCTGTTTCAGAACCTGTGCAAAAAGCAGTTTGGGCAGCACAGGGTGTCAGTAATTGAAATGCCAGAGAGAAAAGAGAGAGCCGGGCACTAACCCTTAAATATCTCCCTCTCTCAGGACAAGCACTGGCTCCTGAGGCAGCCACACAACCCCATGACTAACAGCTCTATCAATTTCCTGGACAACGCGTTTCGCAGAAGGTAAGAGATGATGAGGGCAGACAGGGGGTCAACACCCTGTACCAGGCTTCTGATCTGGGTACATGTTCAAATGGACGCCCTGGATGGCATTTTATCAACGCCACATGTTACCCATCGTGGGAAACTGTGAAAAAGAGGCTTGCAAGAACACCTCGTTGCTAAATACATGAGTTCTGTCTGTCTGTCCAAGTTTCCATCCACATTACCCTCATCAAAGACTGTTGAGGCACCCCCAGATGAATACTTCTGGCTCTGGGATTGCTAGCAATCTAGTCACTATCTGTAAACGGTAGTCCAGCGAGGTTGGAAAGGGTTTCAGAATTAGAGGTTTGCCTTTTGCTGACAGCAGTTGGTTTCTGCAGTGAAAGAGTGTCAGCTCAGGGCAGTTAAATGTGGACATTTCCTATGTATTTAAGTCTGCAGGTTTGCAAATAACAGTGAATGGTCTGGCTTTTGCAAAGATCTGCACTGCGGACAGGAATGGCTGGTATTTGGCTACCCCTGCAGGGCGTGAGAGAGAAGGAAGGAGTGTTGTCATCGGACGAGCGGCATGATGTGCTGACTGCGCTTTCCGGCTCTGTCCCTAGGTGGCAGACTCTCCTGTCAGTGGATGACCTGGTGGAAAAGGTAGTCCAGAAACTGGAGGATCTGAAGCAGCTGAATGACACCTACATCTTCTACACCTCCGATCATGGCTACCATACAGGTGCGCCGCCTGCTGTTCCTGGGTGGCCCTGTATTTCAGTCACCGAGGAGACATGGAGGTCACGGGTCATAGCTCACAGCAGTCGCCTCTTCCTCCTGTCTTGTTGGAGATGCTACAACAAGAGAATCCTGGGCTTGATATTCTGTTGAATTTTGTTTTTTTTTTTGTTTTTGTTTTCTTTTTACCTGAATCAAAGCCTTGCTTTCTGTGTGAGTCCCAGCTCCCGAAGCGGCAGACACAGCTAGCCTTGTGCTAGCGCTGTTCATCAGCATGAGCTTTTATAGTCCTGTCAGCGCAACATGTGACAGCCGGCTGGCCCCAGTGAGCGGTGAAGTTTGCGTGTAACCGTGAGTGTGTCTTGCGTCCCCAGGGCAGTTCTCCTTGCCCATTGACAAGCGGCAGCTGTACGAGTTTGACATCAGAGTCCCTCTCCTGGTGAGAGGCCCTGGGATCAAGCCCAAGCAGACCCTGCAGGTGAGAGGAGGCGGGCTGAGGCCACGTTGGACATTAGTCTTCCCACTGCCTGACGCAGCTCCCCATCACAACACTGATGAAACACCTACCAGAGAGCACAAGTAGAACTGCGTTTCCCCGCCGTTTACAAATTCAAAATAGTTTTTTTTACTCAAAAAGCTGGGGCAGAATGCAACAAGTACCTGATCAAGTTGCTAAAGCTGAGCCTTTTTAGCTTTACTTTAAAGAAATGGCTGGATAAGATCCCTGGGTCAGTTAGCTGCTACCAAACAAGCTAGACTGCCCTAGAGGCCTCCTCCTGTTCCTTTCATGTGTTCTTATGTAAAATGCGTGTGATAAGCTTCAGTAATATTTTTATAATTTTAATGTAGTGTTATTTTGCTGAGTGCATGCAGTAGATAGTGAAAACAGTCTTCTTTGTAATTGCATGTTAATTCACTATTGACAATTTACTGTCAAAACGTACAGGTTTACAATAGCCCTTACTTTGCAGCTGCTTGGTTATTGGTTCTGTATACCCAGGTTTACTGTAGTAACAGTACTCTAAAGCAAAAGATAATGTGAATTTATCATGAAAGGGGCAGTGAACCATGCTTGCCCAGGTATGTCTTGAGAAACATTCTTTCTGTTTTCCAATACGTGATATGTATAAAGCTTTGTGTAGTAATCTGCCATATCTACCTATCAGGAGGTGTAGCTGCAGCCAATCAGCCATTAGTAACTGCAGTGTGTTTCTGTTTGCCAGGCACCAGTGCTGAACATTGACCTGGGCCCTACCTTCCTGGACATCGCAGGAGTCAACGTGTCCCAGACACCCATGGATGGACAGTCCTTCCTCCCCTTCATGGTGCATATTTTAGGGGGCACCCTGGGATGGGACATTGGTATATTTTAAGGCTGAGGGAATTTTTTTTTTAATGTGAGCATATCAGTAAAGCGCTTGCTCAGAGCTCAGATTATGCTCTGTAATCGAAATGTTGTGGGTTCAAGTCTGGCTCATGTCCCTAACTGCCCGTGGGCTGAATCCCCCAAATGGTGGAGCACTGTTGGCAGGGGGTCACTGGGTGTTAGGTAAGAGAGCCAGGGCTCTGCAGCTTGCCAGGTGTTTGCAGTGATGATGTCAGCAAGAGACATCGGCCAGTCGTGTCTGCCTCTCCTGTTAGGCGCCTAGGAGCGCGTCAGATGACCAAGGGCTCTGGAGGTGGGTCTGCTGGAGAAACATGTCCACAGGTATCATTCTCTCCTGAGTGTTATGGCAGTTGTCAAGGAGTGCTGTCTTAAAACAATTGGCAATTCCAAATTTCTATGAAGAACAAAAATATTAGGATCTGTAAAGGTTGCTGTGTTCATATTTGTTTACTGTGAGAAGAGCTTTCCTGACCTCTGTGCAATCAGAGGTTATTGCATATCTTCTGCCTGTATCTGTTGTTCTGTTTATGTGAGCACAATGGATAATTTGTGGCTTTTCTCTATATGCTGCATGTTATGGCTATGAGAGGGCATTGTGTTTACTGTCTATGTGCTGCAAGATGGGCGTGTCCTCAATGTGTCTCTTCCATCAGGCCCCCTCTCTGCGAAACGGCTCCGTGCGCCCCTACTTCCTGGTGGAGCACACAGGGGAGGGGCACTCTGATCAAGACCCTGCCTGCCCTTCTCTTGGCCCGGGGCTATCTGTGAGTATTCGCCCTGCATCATCATCATCATCTTCCAATCACAGCTCTCTTCCTCCCTGTCCCCGTGTCACCATGCGTGAGGGGACCCCTTGACATTAAGACTCATCACTGTGGGACTGAATTAGTAAATTAGTAATTAGTTCCTTGCCTCCAATGTCGAGAGATTTCTATGGTGAGGGAGCTAAACAGGATTAGAGATGTTTAATCAGGACCCAAAATAGATCGTGAACATCTTTCCTGTGGGAGGCAGTGTGGAGTCACACTATCCTGGTATCACAGTAAAGTGCAGAAGGCTAGTGTGATCCTTCATTTCACCCATTTAGGATTTGTGGGCAAATTGCAGGCTGCTACAGCTCATGGATGGTGCTCTACAATCCCCACATGTATAGGTCATACAAAGGCAGTGTGCTGTTACTTTGGGTCGTTTGTTGAAGAACCCATGCAATAGTACAGACAGGTAGAAGTCAAGCATTTGTTCTAGCTAACCCTTAATTACTGAAGTGATCTGCAACACCTGGGTTAATTAAGCAATTAATTTACATTGGAAGGTCGATTAATTCAAGTGGCAAAGTTGAGCACTTCTTGTATAGACTGATGCTGGGGATTTGTTTCTTCTGACAAATTTCAAATTAATGCCTAAAGTGTCCTGGTAAAATACAGCATCATTTGACAATGTGATGCTCTGTAATCCAGATGTTGTGGGTTCGAGTCTGGCTCATGTCCCTAACTGCCCTTGAGCAGGATTCCCCAAATGGTGACGAGTAGTTGGCAGAGGGTCGCTGGGGGCTAGGTAAGCTGGCCGGGGCGCTGCAATTTGCCACATTAATACATGTTTTAGTTCTGTTGTACAGAAAACATGATCTCGTCCTTCTCTCCACACACTATACCTCTGAAGTGTCGATCTGCCTGTGCACTGTCCTAGGACACTGAAACCCAGATGAATACTTGGCTCGCAAGCAAAAAATCCTGCATTGCAAGCTAATACCAGACACAGTCTGAGATCTGTAGGCAACAAGCTTGACGGCTCCAGTTTTTGTTAGTAGAGATGCTTGTATTTCAGCATTTTTTTTTTTGACAGTCTGGAACCTTAGACATTCGTGTCACTTAAGAGATGTGAAAAATATCGCCTTTCTCTCTTTATCTTCCTTTACTCTGTAGCAATGCTTCCCAGACTGTGTGTGTGAAGACGCCTTCAATAACACGTATGCCTGCGTGAGGACACTGAGTGATTACAACCTGCAGTACTGCGAGTTTGCAGACAGCGAGGTAGGACTCTCGGCCTCTTGAGTCCTTGTCACGCCACCGAGGGTGGTGGACTGGATGCAGGCTTACCAGTAGGAGACAGCGCATGGTTAACAGCTTTCATCATTTGTTGAGTCAGGCTTTCACAATTTCTTCAGAAGATTGTAGATAATCAGGAGGCAAAGAAGCAAGGATCTGTAACGCGTTTTACAGAAAGACATCAATGTCGAAATGTGTGCTTTGCAGGGGGCTTGCAGGGCATCAGAAATGTGGAATGGCAGCTGATGTTAACCTTGGGTTTTGCAAAAGTGACCTGGTGATGTGAAAAGATATGACAGAGTTTGAGAGAGTGTGATAGGGCTGAAAAGCTAGCATAAACTGATAAAAATAGATATACTCACAGTAACTTTTTTGTACTGTGCTGAGTGTTCTGCATACACATAGTCTCAAGTAATATTGTCAGTAAACCTTGTTCTTAAGTAATTTGGGTTATGTATATAACTATATCTGAGGATTCTGCGGATTAATAGGCGTAATTGTATCATTCAGCACATCCTGCAAGACAAATGTCAATATGAAGTGAGGGTTTCACACCGTATTGCCATAATGTAGACTAAATCCATCCTCAAGGCTTATATCCAACACCTGAATACCCATTCCCATTCAGCTGCTGGCAGCTGTACTCAGTCTCTGTAGCAGTACAATGTTTTACTGTAAGTGCACAGAACTACACAGATCTACACTGCACACCATGGGTGATGCAATTAGTGGAGTACTGTAGGGATCTGTACTAGGACATCTTAATTCATATCAATGATAAAGATTCCAGAATAGTTAGTAAAGTAGTCAGGTTGACCGATGATACCATTTTAGGATCAGCAAACTCTGTAAAAGCAGCAAATGAAATTCACTGAAATCATTGCACTGAAACCGGTGCACTGAAAAGACTTAGGTGTTTGTGTGGTGATGTCATTTACATTCTCTAGACAATGGCAGTTGATAAGGCAAACAAAATGCTAGGATATATTTATAAAAGTGGAAAAACTTTAATCAAGGGATGGTACAGTTTTAGTCAAAGTGTTACAAGGGAACCTGATGCAAGTATTCCAGATCTTTAAAGGCATTGACCGTGCCAGCCCATAGAATGCAAGTGGAAACTACAAACTACATTAAAACCGAGAACGGGGGGTACATCTTTACCCAAATGGTTGTGGGAGTATGGAACAAGCCACCTTGTTGTTATGTTGTTGAGGCTGAAAGCTGTTTTTTTTAAGAAACGATTGGATGAGATCAATTAGCTACTAACTAACAAAACAAGTTACATGGGCTGTATGGCCTCCTCTCTTAACTTGTGTTTTAAATGTAGCTGTACTGGCAGGGGGCCAGTGCTTGAGAGAGTTTCTAAATACAGCAGGAGAGGGAAGTAAAGACTTGTGGGGGGAAGGGGCGGTGAGTCCTGTAGTCCAGACATCACTGTTTCGAGCCAGGTGATGTCATTGACCATTGGGATTCCCCAAGCGGTAATGAATGATTGGTCAAGCCCCCTGTACGACTGGCTGCCCTCAGCTTGCCATGCTGGGAACCTGTGACTTTCTACTGTCACCAGTGAGACAACATGACATCTCCAATCCCTGCTCACTGTCCTGTGAGGGGCTGTGGGGTTCACAGTGTGTAAAATGGCAAATGGCTTGACAGTGTGCTTTGGAGCAAATGTGCCCTGTCTTCGCTCAACAAGTTAAAGAGCTTGGAGGCTATAAAAAGAATGAATATGCGATTCCAGATTTATTAATCACAGCTTTAAAGGGGCTCAGGGATATAGGAGCTCGGAGAACAGTGTAGAATCAAGACTGTGTGTTATCCAATAGGCCTTCATAGGGGTTTAGTTAACTGGGGACTTGGGTTCAATTCTTTGTCTCTTACATCTCTTCCATAGTCCTTTGTGGAGGTCTACAACCTGACCTCTGACCCTCACCAACTGGAGAATGTTGTCAAGAAGGTGGACCCCACCCTCCTGCAGACTATGAACCAACGTTTGATCAAGCTACAGTCCTGCTTGGGCGAGTCCTGCAGGGTCTACAAGCAGTAGCTGAGCAGGCCAGAGACTGTGTGGCCTCTCAGTCAGCAAGGTACAGGACTTAATAATAAGAGATTTCTCAGCCAGCGACAGTTCTTAGTCTTGCATTACACATGTGGCGGTGATTCGAAAACGAAGTCTGCATCAAGCACGTGTTTTACACTGTCATCATTATCATTAGCATAGAAGGCGCTCTTCTCAAGCACGCTACTTCCTGATTGTGGCGGATCAATGCAAATATGGAAATCCATCTCTGCTAAAATTAAAGAAATCCTTTACCTTTATGTATTAAGAGATGTGGCTGAGTAGTGCAATGTGATAATACAGCACAATTCTCGAATAGATTTACACTGCATATACCCATCAGACCTCCAGAAAGTGACTATTATAGGTTTCTGGATGGACTGTTGACCTTTTGTATCCTCGAAATTCAGTATGTATACCTTTTGTTTTGCATATATGACTGGTTAACTTCACATTAACTTAATTTTTAGCACTCGAGTAAGGGTAGCATATTCTTGATTAGACCATTTCCTGTTTGTGCTATTCCCCGTTAGTCATGTCTTAAGGGTGTGAAAATGAAGCTTTATATCCTGAAGTTAGATGAGTATCCAGACACCAGCGCTGTTCTATAAAAATAGCCAGAGAGAATATTAGAAGGAAGCAGAGAAACCCCATATTTCAGCCCTTCTAAAGGACGGTGTTCTTGCCATAGTCTCTGAGGATGTGATCGTCTCACCAGGACATTTCTCATACAGGCTGGGCCCATTGAGTTGTACAACGTGGTTTCTGACATGACTCTTTATTTGTGATTTTATTCTTCATCAGTCCGTGGTAGTTCACAGCGCCTGATCTGTGCTCTTGTCTTACAGGATGTGAAGCACTTTACTGGGTGGAAGGGACTGGAGCCGTCTGCTCTGTACTTCAATGTGAAACCAAAGATTTTACTTTTTCAAACTTGTGTTTCCTTTCTTTTGTCCAAATTAATCGTTCGTTTTGTTTTAAAAATCGAGACTTTTCTGATCGAGTCCTGAGGGAGTGTTAGGGTTTGAGGAGAACAGCACACAGGCCTGTGGGGCTCAGTTTAATAACACTAATGAAGAGTGCGGGCCTGTTTTCAAGACAAAGGTGGCTTTAACTAATCCCTTGCAGTGAAGCAGAATTGAAAGCCATGAATTCACTTTTGTTATGTGCTGGAGTCTGCTGTTGGTAAAGTGAACGAACTGTATAAAACTGTATTCCTCTTTTGGAGACGAAGGGGTCGTCTGTATTCTGTACAGTCACAATGGTTTCGCTCAATACAGGCCTGAAAGGGGCTGCTTGTATCAGTCAGATACAATACAGTGTAAAAACAGGGCTTTTTTTCTACAGTCAGATCTTTCAGAGATAGGTGCTCATCCTTAACCAGGAGCACAGTTGACTCGTTTTGAGCTGTAGCAGGAGCACCCTGAACTCTGCCACAGACTCTTTGTTTCTTATAATAAAAAAAAATAAAAATAACCACTGTGAGGAAACACTTCTGTTCTCAGAAGGTTTTGCATGAAACCCCTTGTCATTCTCCTTGCTGTGAATCAAGGTGACTGTACTCCATGAAGAAAGAGGTGTGTATCTTACCCCAAAGAATCATTGGTATCAGTTCCTAGTCGAAGTTCCCCCCCCCGGCCCGCCATTAGAGCTGCATTAAATATTTTGAACTTCCTAAATTGCTGAGCCCTCTGCTGCAGTGCAAGCGGTGAGGAGAAACAATCCAGTCTTCTCTGCTCTCCCCGCCTCCAGATAGGAATTGAAATACAAACCAGTATGTTGGGGTTTTTTTTTGTGTTTGTAAAACAGCGAGAGTTTCTAATCAGGCGGAGGCTACTAGGCCGTGCGGAGGTGGGATATGAAATTATCCCGCGCTACACTGGTGGAGTCCGTGCGCGGCTGCAGAAATTCAGGTCCACGGCGTTGCTAAGCAGCCGCCGCACAAGCCGGTGACACTTGGGCCATAATGTCAACAATCCCATCCTCGCCGGCCCGCACTTCCATCGTGGGTCTTGACCAGCCCCCCCCCACAGTACTACACACTCAGCCACGCACCTCTCTCACGCGTCGGCCCCGCCCCCTTGCTCTCCCACGCCCACCTTACCGCCTCTGCGGGTACCAAAGGTTATGAAGACGTTCAAGGCTGCGGCCTCACCACTGGGTGCTCTTTGGAGCCCGCCCCCGTGTCGCAGACGGGCGGCGTGCTCTGTCACCGTTGCGGAGGAGAGCGTGCATCGTTCCTGCAACACCTGCCAGCTCTTTTGCATTCATTTTCATGCGTTGCTGCCTCCAGGTTTCGCTGTAATAGTAAGAGCTTTGTTCGCAGTGGCGGGAGGAGGAGGCACAGAGCGGGTTCCTTTGCAGCCGCCTAATATCAGTCATTCTCATCTTCCTGCTTTCGTCTAGCACAATAGCTTCACTGTTATCAGGGTGTTAATCGCACCCGGGCCGCCCCCCTTCGCGCTGTTGAATTCAGTGTCCCTCTTTCCCAGTAACGATTGCAGGTGGATCTTCCACTCGCTTCTGCGCAGGGACGGGGAGACGGGTCTGATATCGCGATCAGCGAGGTGTCAGGTGGAAGGCCGCGATGGTTATCCCGTTTTTGTTAGTTAGGGAAGACTCTTCTTCCCTGTTTTGAGTATCTCCCTCCGAAGATCTCATTTCACCCGAAAGTGGCCCCGTTTCAAAGGCCGTATTTGTACCTTTGTTTTGTCCCAGGATGAAGTGCGCCGCCGAGCACTCAGAAGTTAATTGTGTGGGGGGGGCTTCTGAGGTTGTTAATGGTAGTGGTCATTTTATGTAATAGAACAGGAACAAGGGAAATTGCGATTAAAAATCTTGTTTACGATAAGAAATTTTGGCTATATTATGGAAGAGGCTTATTCGTGTTTTATTAAATTGCTGTCGCGTTTTTTTTTGGCTAAATATAAAATTAAAGCGACAGGTTCGGTGGTCAAGAAAAGAAAAAGAAAATATTTTTCCGCTTGAAAATGAAACTCAGCAAATGCGGACTGGCCGTAAGTTTTAGGTGGTGCACAAATCAACTACGATGCAACCAGAACCGATCTCTGTGGTTGTTACTACGCCATGTGGAGCACCTTCGCAAATTTAACTAAGCCAAATTAATAATATATATATTTTTTAAATTCTTCGATATTCGTCGTTCTCTTTCTTATCCGTATATCCCCCCCTGTGTGTCTTTAACAAGGGAACAACAGTTTTCATTCCGCAAATGTTTGGACATTAGGTTATGCTACAGAAAGCTGGAAAATAATGTATTAAATATTCATTACTTTAACCCTATTAGGTCGCCTTGACAGAAGGTAGAGTATTAACCAAATATATTAACGAAATATACCATCTCAGCGCCGGCACCTATGTCCGTGCCATAAATGTGAATAATTTCCCGGGCTTCCTGTTGCTTTCACCTGTGACGGTGCTTTTTGCTGTTTATTTGAAGGGTCATTTATACCATACGGCCGTGTAAACCATTTTGTAGGCTCTGGGAATTATTTTTTTCGCTTCTCGAATACAATCCCAGAACAGCGCTTGGTCTGTTGACGGTGTCCTCCTACCGGCAGGGATAACAGCAATGGCAGTATGCTCAGTCAAGCCCTGCACCCGTGTGCAATTCCTAAATGGAGCCGAGATCCGTGAATGCTCGACCGGTCCACTTGATCTTTTGCATCAGCTCCCAGACCGACCCCATAGCGCGGGGTTCCTAGCGCGCAGGACTCCCAGACCCTCCACGTCTAACGCGGGTGTCTCACCCTGGTAAATCGCATAAGAAACGTTTTGAAGACTATACTGCACCTTTAAAAGGAACACGAAGCGCGAATTTTTTTTTTTTCAACGAGACTGTTAAGAGAAATCGAAATTGACGTGTGGGTGAACCAAGCTGGCACATGCGACACAGGCAGAAGTCGCGTCGCATCTCCTCGCACGCACAGTCCTGCGTGTCCACAGGAGAGATATGCAAAAGAGCCCTCGCTAAAAGCGAGAGAACCTCTTTTTTTTAATAGGCTTGTTTCTAACCTGATTCTTCTAAATGACGATTTGCATTCGAGATTTCCCAGATGAGTGAAGCGCACTAGATCAGCCACTTGTTTGAGCAACACTATGGTAATGTAGTAATTTTTATCATTCGTAATAGTAGTCGTATTAGTGCTGTTCTTGGAAGTGGTAAGAAAAGATGTCAGTCCTCGCTTGATTTGTGATGTATTTTGTGTTTCCATTCCTGTCAGTTCATTCTGTATCGCGGTTACGTGCTGGCGAAGGCACTATGTTTACGTTTTATCCTAAAACAACTTTTAAATCGAGAAGGCACAACTTCTTGAAACTTTGCGCCAAGTGCGTGCTCTGTATGCTCGATTGGTGTGTGTGCAGTGTGGAATTGGTATACTGTAGTGGATCTGTTTCCTGTTTTAACATCAGACATGAAAGTCGTAAATGATCAAGAGCAAACAGACAGACGCGAGCGGTCCTTTCATTCCGGTCAATCTGCTATTGAGATGTCTGGCAGACAGCAGCGATGTCGCGGCGATGTTGTTAACGGGGAAGGAGCGCAGCACCAGCAGTGGCGTTTCGAAACCCTCGCTAGAGACAGCTCCACTGCCACACGATGCCGGCGATTTAAGACATTTGGAGTAGTTATGTTTTTTTTTAAGGGGACTGAGAATTACAGCTGAGTAAGGTTATAGGCAAATTAAATGCACCAACTTCTGCAACAAGGCTGACCATTTCCCACTATCTTGATATCTTGATACCAGGTTTTCACATTTGTGTTGACGGGTTTATAGTCAAATCTCTTGGACCTAAAGCTTGATTTCCAACTGCTTTTAAAGTTGCTTTTTGGGGATGACCGGACAACCGCTACACAAGGATGCTCTAACACAGCCCAGTTGAGTCCGTAATCAGTCGGGTTTGCAGGGTGGGGTGTTGTGCAGGGCTCTGGCTGTGTGACTGGGGGGGTTGTGGGTTTGAGTCCCAAGGAGCAGGGCACGGGTGAGGCACCCTCCCCCAGAGCAAGGTCTTTCACTCAGACTGCTCTGGTAAAAACTCCCATTCTGTGCCAATGGGTTGCAAACCAGAGCCCCTGTGTGTGAAAGTGTCAGCCCCAGAAGCTCAGAGTGTGTTTCTATGACTGTTCTTATTTTGCGTCTCTCTTCGGATTGTCTGCCAGAAACACAGAGCCACATCATTGCCTGATTAAATCAATTCAATTCAAAATACTTGATTCATCCCCGGCGGGGGGGCAGTTTAAGCAGCACGCGGTGTAACACACAACACAAGACAGAAACAAAGACAAAACAAACCAAAAACATTGCTTAGATATAACAGCAAAGAGAGCACAGAAGTGAGTGAAAGTAACAGTGTGCAGTATTTCGTAAGGAATCAATACCTGCATATTTGTGCGGGGGAGGGGTCTGTCCAATAGACATCATGTGATTAGAGTTCTTTACAGTCATTGTTTGCGAGTCTGATGGAATGAAGGTAAATTTCCTTTTATTTGGCTTGCACCCTGGACAGCGAAAAAACGTCCTTCCTGAAGGCAGAAGTTCAGAAGACTTACTGTGTGAGGGGTGTGAGGTGGGGCTTCAGTGATGGCACAGGCCTTCCTCAGGGTCTGCCGGGCACACAGCTGTGCCAGGGGTCTTAAAAGCTCACCGGTGACTTTGGCGCTGAGGGTTACAACATTTTGAAGGCGTTTTTTTTTTGGGGGGGGGGGCTTTTTGACTGAGCGCGGTGAACCAACAGACAAAAGAAAAGGTTAAAAAACTTTCAATAAAAGAGCTCTAGAATGTTAAAAGAATTCTTGTTCGGACTCCGGATGAACTCAGTTTTCTCAGAGCATACAAGCTACAGGCCCTCACGTCTGGTAGTCCTCAGCGGAGCCCACTTGCCCTCGGAGGGGACGAGCGGTGCTGTTCATCTGCCCTGTCCTGTCAAGAGAAACCTCCAAAAACTGCCAGCCTCACGGATTGCCCAGCCCAGTTGGCACAGAGTTTTACCAGGAAAGTGTGCATCAGATAGGGCTGAGGGACGTTATATCATCATTTCCTCTTTCCTCCTATATCATGTTCCCGTCACAATCAATACCATATTTGTGTCTTTTACCTGTTTCTCTCTGACTGATAATGTTAATGTGCCTACTTGTTTGGCATTGTCACAGACTCCACCAGAACAAAAAGACATTCTGAAAGCTGATATAGAGGTGGGGAGGTAGATCAGGGTTGCGCAGGCTTCAGTTTACTGTGCTTTTCTTTAACTGTGGGCTTCAGAGCACTGTGTCACAAACATTTACTTCCCCCTGCACAGCTACCCTGTCAGCTTATCAAGGAGAATTTCTTTCCCCCAACTTGTTTAATTATGACAGTAATGCCAGTCTAAGTAAAGACTAAATAGTTCATAAGAAGCTAAAAGAAACTAAGAGGAATTATGTGAATTAGCGCACGTAAGTGACAGTAATGCGTAACAATTCACACATTGA